TTTTATACATAAAACCTTAGGTATTTTTTTTTTAAATTATGGATATGAACATTAAGTTTGTTCTATGAAATTTTAAATCAATCAAAACAAAAAAAATCAATATATGGTAAATGGTAATGGTAGATCCATAACTTAACTATGTAATGAACTGACTAAAACGTGTGATGGTCTATGCCGTTTACGAAAGAATTGTGAATACTTGTTGATCAAATTAAAAATCTGAAAACAAATCTTTTTGACAGATAAATTATGAACAGTCATAATTCTGAGAATATCTTAATCCTAAAGAATATATGGGAGTGGAAGTTGTCAGGCAACAAGTTAAAAATAATTTGTTTTAATTATCAGTAATGAGTAATTGTTGGCCAAGTTATATACCCAAAAATTCATTAATATTTAAAATTACTTTCTTTGATGCTTAACTGTAATTTTGTTGCCCTAAAGTAACATAATCTTTTTTTCTATTTTCTGCTCAAAATGCAAATTCTTTAAATGTATTTTGTATTCATTTGCATTTTTCGTATACAGTGTGTACTTCCAATACAGAAAGCATGTTTTGGAAATGGCAGTACTCATTTCAGTCATTTGTGGAAAGTGGGTCAAAAGAGGGGGCTTAAAGCTTGCCTATTTTAACTTTCCAAGAGATATAACAACTGCATTATTTCTAGTGTTCTACATGTCAATTCTGTTTGAGAAATACTACATACCAACTGGAGCTTCAGTCTCTTTCACAGGTGGATCTGGTTTCACTTCTTCCGAGACCTTTTCCTCTACACTATCTTTCTCTTTTGGTTGTTCCACTTGTTCTTCAGGTTTCACCTCTGAGGCGGCTTGGGGAACAACTTCCTGTGGTGGAGCCTCGGTGGCTGCTGTCACCTCCACTTCACTCATGGAGGGAGCCACATCTGAGGCGGTTTCTGTTGAGGTAGATAATGACGGAGGCTCATTTCCTGTGATGGGAACCGATGTCTCACTTTTCTCTACCGGTACAGAGTCCTGATGCTCTACAGAGCTCTCATCTCTTATTGAGTCTGACACACTGTTTGAAAGATTTGGGGCATTACTACCAGCTTCTGGTATATGATCACTAGCATTTTCTTGTGAAGGTTCACTATCTACTTGATCATTAACGGGTAGTGTCAGAGTTTCACTTTCTGCACTGGTTGCTGGAACCTCACTAGCTAATGTAGAGGAATCAACCTGTGGCTCCTCTGAATGTTCTCGCATATCAGCATGTTCTGCTGTTCTTGCTTCTGATCGAAGTGTGGCAGCCACTTGAGCAGCAAATTGGGCTGCAATGTCACTATTATGAGGTGTAGGTTGCGGAGCAGACTGAAAATTAATATTTCAACATTAGAATATTAAATACTTGAAAAAAATTGAGAATACATGTATTTAATTATCATTACAGAAATCTGTGATTGAGCTGCTGGAAGTATAATGATGATTACCGTATCTGGAGTCCCTCTGGACCCGGAGCTCGGCCCACTTGGCGGCGTGGACCTGTGTGAGGACCCTTCCTTAGCTTCCTTTGTATGCAAGATTTCACTGGTCAGGTCTTTTCCTGTGTTGGGATCTACAATGCTCAGTGTTTTCTTCACCCTCTTTTCGGGGGCTGCTGGATTGGATGGTGGACGACTTGGCTGGGTTGGGAACATCATTGTTGGATTGTTGTAATATGGAGTGTTGGTGGGCTGTCCCATGGTGGTGAAATGCATACTTTGCTGATTACCCATATTTGGGTACTGTGAATTGTTCATCCTTGAAGCCTGCATGTTCTACAAAAAGAAATATGATTTTTAAAACTGAAACCAAAATCTTAAAAAATCAAATATACAAGAAGCAAAAACTGCATAAAGATTGTTACAATTTAACAAAATCCATGAGTTTTAAAATGAATCTTCTATTTACCACATGACTAGGCTGCATGATTATTTGTGTTCCATAGTTCTGCCCCGGAATATTCATATTACTTGGGGTCATTATCTGGTATGTCATGCCTTGCTGTGTAAACTGCTGAGGAGTTTGTTGCTGAGGAATCTGTGCATATTGGTTGTTAGGCATCACATTACCAGGAGGAGCACTCTGTCTGAAAAAAGGCTGCAGAAAAAAAAAATATTACCAAGTATTTGAAAATAAATTCCATGATAATATAAAAATAATTTCCCTACATAACCAATGACTGATTTTCTACAAATGTTACCTACCATTGAAGTTTGTGGTCTCATACTTTGTTGTTGCTGATACATGGTTGTTGGTTGTACCAGCCCAGCACCTGGTGCTGGAAGTCTATTGGGCACTTGAGACTGCTTGTTTAGTTCATGAGTGTACACTGTGCCCTGCCCTTGGGGCTGTGGGGGTGGAATACTAAAAAGCTGCTGCTAAAAAAGGGGATATCAAGTAAATGCATTGTACATGTATGTAATAATTAACATTTTTATAAGACAAAGTCTATTATAAATATGCATATTTATATAAAGACAGAATATCTTGTATGTTTTCAAGTTACCTGCTTAAGAGAAGGTTGAGAGTAATACTGTTGCTGGACTTCTTCTGGACCTCCTGGTGTTGATGAAATAAAAAAGGTTAATAATATTCAACTAAAAACATTTGTTGTCTTGAATTTGTTTACCTTGGGAATTTAAAAATTTTCCTAAGAAATTTCTCTGTACGAAACAATTTATAAAATTTTCTGATAATGATAAAAAATATTATTTATGCATTATCCCATCCTGAAACTTACTACCAGTAAACTGCGGGGGAGTCTGTCCTCTTTGGTGAGGTCTAGTTTCATGTTAAGGAATAGTCCAGTAAAATGTTACAAAACATGACAAGTAATTCAAATTGGGAAAAAATCCTATCTTTAACATACAGAAAAATAATGATAAAACTGGGTATAAAAACAGAAAGAGCATGTCAAACCTGAAGTGCATGTACATTGTCCCATTTCTATAAATAACTTCTTTTACATATTATTGTCAGTATATCAGACCATTAATCATGGAAGACCTGTCATGTGGCAATATTCACACCACTCAGATAGACTAACTATGAATGGATACATACAGGTTTTATCTACACTATAACTGTGTCACTGTGACACTGAAATGGTTAGCAATATTTCAAATGAATGAAAATTTACACAACCTTCAGGCCAGTATCTGACGTTAACAGAAAATAAATTTGACATATTTAAACACTGACAAGTTCCAACACTATCTACAACAGCAGTCAAGTTCACAAGACTGGCATATACTCCCTCACAGAAATATCTAATATTATAATTAGCATTTCATCCTTACAATTTCTGTCACAGAGCTTTCATCACAGTATCCATTTGAATATAAAATAGTGCAGATGGCTGCACTGATACCAGTGTGCTAACAAGAACCATTTTATAATCATAAGAATGCCTGTCCATCCTACTGTAGCAGTCATCCCCTGCTGTGTAAATGTACAGAGGAAACGGCAATAAATCACTATAGGTGGAATATGTGTTCATAGAATGCTGTTCTTGCAAAACTGCTACTGACATATATTTCATCTACTACAGATGGACTTCTACAAAACCGTGTCGTTCGTAATTTTCAATGAACATCAAACAAAGATGAGAGAGAATACAAAATTAGCTATATTTTTTCAAAGTTCAATCCATCCTACAATTGTTTCATCTTCATACAAAGTAAACTGAATCAATGAGTCAATATCCATAACATCATTCAAATTATGCTATATATTATAACTTGGCAATTGTAAATGGATATGCAACATCAAATTACTGAAAATAAATAGTTCATTGGGGTAGAATAACTCAAATGTTGGTAGAAATACTTCATTCATTCATAAAACCATTTATTTATTTGTATTTTCTCATTTTCTTTTATATGCATTCTAATAGTTCAAGAGGTTTTTTTATGTTTGTAAACAAAGGCAAGAAATTATTTATACCCAGATCCAGAAACTTCCTTACAAAAAATTAGAAACTGTTCAATACATTTCAACATACCTTCATTAAGATTATTCCACTGATAATTTCTGAACATATTTCCCTAACTAAACATCATCACTTCAAATAAATAAGTCGTAAAATCCCTTCATCAACCACATACCATGACAATGGCATTGTATCATATGGCCATGACAAACCGTATTACGCATGCACCAAAATGCGTTTTCCTGTAAAATTTTCGGTCCACGTGTTCTAAATTTATCTTAAAATCCATGTGAAAAATTGTAAACAAAATACAAATGAATAGTTTTTAGTAACACAGAAAAAGAAACCATGCTAGCATTTTTGCCAAATTGCAGTAATTAGCGCACGAATTCCTATCGTCAGGAGAACACGATCGTGAAATGTGATCGCAGTCTGCCATGACCCCGCCTACAAACTCATGCTTCAAATGAATACAAACCGGACGATAGAACTATACAAAAGTACAAGTCAAACCAGAAAGCATCGTTATGATCCTTCATATAAACTAATCTTAAATATTTGCATGTTATGTTGCGTGACATACAGTTATTTTGCTATGGAGATTTTTTGTAGTTCCGTTTCTACCCGGCATCTGGTCTCCTTTTTGAAACGTTTGAGGAGAAAAAAGTATACATTTTTGTCCAAAAATATCATGGAAAATAAAAGGATACGTAATAGATCTTTGCTGGGAATGTCCTTGGTGATGTCCGGTTGCTGAATTTGGTGACTTTACCTTCCGTTCATTCATTTCAACGTAACTTCGCAATGATGGAGTCCTTGGAGAAGGACCGATTTTGGGCTTGTTTCCAAGCTCTATCTCCTATATGGATGGAATATAATATGTGAAAATTAATGTTTTATCTTTCATCTTTATACTTACAAAAACAATTTTACGAATAATTCCATAATAACAATGAGATGGGTTAAGATTGTATCTAATTATCAAAAAATGGCTACCTTACTTAGTCTGCAAGGAGACGGCCTGTTGTTCGGTCATTTCCGTAAACCGATTGTGACCGAACAATCACGATTGTTAGAGGTCAAAGGTCTTTTGCGACATTATACATAATAATCACCTGACTTTAAAGCGAATTAAATGCAATAAAAGGATAACAGGGAGGAACAAAAGGTTAAGATTTCATTGTAACATTTTAATATGAATTATTTTAAACATCGTTTTTCAAAATTCCTTTTGTAGCAAATTGAAACCCCTTTATGGTAAGACTAAAAGAAGAAAAACCCCGTTTGTACGTGAGAGAACTGTCTACGGTTACTTTGTTTATATATAGAGTATGTATTGTATAATTATTGTTGAGATGCGAAATAAGTGATTTGTAGAGACTTATTCAAACATATTTTTAATTCGCTGAAGTTTTATCAGGCTCTTAGGAACTCTAAGGGGGTGGGTGTTACAGGTTTTGTCTTCTGCTACCTGTAGGTTGTGCTCCTCCCCCATCTCTTGACATAACCAGGGACCTAGACTGTATAGGGTATACTTAGTATATAGGTAGCATAAAAGTCCCTGACATAACAAACATAGCTAAATAAGAAATCTTGGGCGAATCTTCTCTTACCTAAGGGTAATTTTACATATAGCCGAGTTGGAAGTAGCTAGCAATTAAACCATCTTTTTTCTTTGACACTACATGTATGCAAAGTTGAGGTTTAGACAAATCAATAAATATGGATATAATTTCATCTCAGATTCAAATAATACAGAAATAAATTAATGTCAAATGGATGAAAAGTCATAATACATAATCAGGCATCTGTGAGAAAAGTATGTAATATGTATAGTTTATAGCAAATGTATGCTTGAAGGTTCAGCGCATTAACACAGTGTATTGAAGGTAATTCATTAAAAAATGATTGATTTTGCTTTAGGTGTGATGTGCAATGTGTATATTTGTACTTGAATCAGGTTGCTATCATAATGATGCTAAAATTTAAAATAAATCCTCTTCTTTAAATTACTGATCAGAGCAGCACTTGCATGTTCATTACTGTAAATGATAGTTACAATTTATGAAACATACCATAAAGAGTACAATTTAAATACAATTTAAATTAAGGTAATTCTAACATTTTGAGTTCTGCTATTTGTTATATGCTGTAATTTATTGAATTATACATGAAATTAGAAATTCATACTTTACAGTAGTTTAAATCACTATAATAATTTGTCATCAGTAATTAATAAGATATTTTACTGTATAATATTATATATACTCTTTATTCACATTTAACTTTCAACAATGCTATATAATACATGTCAGAGTAAAATATTAAATGTATACATTTATTTATTGATCATGATATCTTACACGAGGATTATAGCAGCCTCTTGGATACATTGTTGTTTATATCCCCAAACCAATATTTCCAAAAAGTCTCGTTTAGGTTGTTTATGTTTTGTTCTGAGCTCTGAAGACTCATAGCAGTATACCGTGCTATCTAAGAGAAAATTTCATATTTCTGTTGAAGAAGAGTATCTGTTTAGATCACAGTTTAATAAAAAAATTTTTTTTTTTGATTTCATATTTACAATTCAAAATTTTTTTTTAAACAATGTTAAAATACAGGTAAAAACTAAACATTGATAAATATAGCATATTAATAATGTTTAATATTTAATCAATATAAAATATAAATCTGTAATGAACTGATATATATACATGTATACCTTGTTATCTTGATTGAAAAATGATTTTTTAAAAGCTCACTAGGCACCATTTGTAGGTCTACAGCATATCTATAATATACATGTACAATATTTGTTTAATTTTAAATTTTTTCAAATTATTTTATTAACACAACACTTGCACTTCTTTTTATGATGGGACCTAGCAAGGGAGTTTATTGAAAATCAATACATGTATTTATTTAAACATATCTACAATTGCCCCCCCCCCCCCCCCACACACACACACACAAAGCTTTCTGACTTTGTTAATGTGGGAATGGATATGCAGTTAATTGTGGCTTTTGTTGCATACTTTTTAAGATAATACTTTTTTTAAATTATAAGACCACATTAGCAGGGTATGTAATTTTTTTCTTGCATTGGTTACAACCTTTAATCTTGCATTAATTTAATACAAAAGAAAGACACATCATATTTATAATGTCTTTACAGACAATCATAATAAGAAGGTTTGAATATGTATAATAAATATTCATTTTTTTGATCTGTATATAATATATTATGGTACATTCCATTGATTGAGAAGCCTGAATCTTTAGATATCTTTCAAAAAACAGGTGACTTTTATATAAAAACTGGTCATATTTACAGTCAAATCTCATTATCTATGAGTTGAGTGGACCAAGAAAAACTCAGACATCTGAGGATTTGTCACCCATGTGACACATGGTTATATATATAGTATTTGCTGTACAGTCGCAGAGCAGTTGATCCTTACATCAAAAGCTCAAATCCACTGGGATACAGAAACTGATCCTTTAAATAAATGAGATTGCATGTATGGATAGAGGACCTCTGTTGCAGGAGGTTCTGGCACAAAAAGATCCCTAATTGCTAAATGGCCTAGATTGCTGAGTAAAGGCCTCAATTTTGCAGCCCTCCACCATCAAGAGGTGACATGTCAGCATGAGAGAAAAATCCTTGAAAGGGATTAAACAAGAACAAGAAATAAAATATCTGATGATTGAGATTCAAGGTTCATAAGGTCCTAGCTAGCTGATACCAAGGTTGAAACTGTCTTAAAGAAGACATTCAGTGGAACTAAATAAACATAAATAAGTATTTAACACACACAGAATTAAAATTAGAATTACTTTTCTTCTTTTTATTTAAACTTTTTTAAACCAAAGAAATACACTCCAGATTTGAGAGAGCTCTATAGTGTGTGTGTGTGGGGGAGGGGGGGGGGGTTAGTGACTACCAGTAGTAGCTGGGAAAAAAAATATTAACATATTGGATACATTAATTGTCCTATTAACAGGCAAAATCTCAGAGATTTCATGATCCAGAGTCTTAGATCAGTGGACATCCCTCTCCCAGCCCTAAGGCTTAAAGCCTACATGTACCCATTATTTGTATCAAATAGACAAATTATATTAATTTGCAAAATTTCTCAACAGAATCTTTTTTAAGATTTTTTTTCTTGTCATTTAGTGTTATGGTTGAGGGTAATTGAGGCTTAGCTGGAATATATTGTCTAAAAGAAAAAGAGAGTTTGAAAAAGAATATGGCTAGCACAGAGAAATTGATCTCTTTTATCGAAAGTGAAACTAAAGGAAAAGTCCAGTCAGTTTAAAATTTATTTTATACATTTATATTAAATACATGAAAGCCATTGTAATTATTAATTTCTGTTTTGAATAATTTGGTTCATGTGTGGGTGTCTATAAATGCCATTTTTAGCCTTTATATTTGTGGAAGAAACAAACTAATGAATATACTTTAGTTTTAATAAAAAAAATTAATTAACTTCCTCCATGTGTGATTATAACCCGTTCCTATCTATAAAAGGAATTATTTAAACCACACTCAGATTAGTTAGTAATTACAGGACATCATTAGTACATATATTTGTGACTTAATGTAGTTCTTATGTATAGTATATCAATGTTGTAACAAAATACCTTACCTTTATATTTTTTTTACATCAGGAAGGAAAGTCCATCCAGTAAATAAAGTGTATATTTCAAAGAGGATCTGAGTACACCTGTACGTCTCACAAAACAGGAAGTAATCGGAGCACTGTGTTTTCTTCGAACCAACTGAACTGTGCACTCCTTGATCAGGTATTTCCATTCATCAGATGAAAATGAAACTAGAATTTTGCAGGTTTGATTGTTATTCTGTTAAATGAAATTAATTTTTAAACCTGCAATTCCAGTTCTTGTTTGTAATATAGATATAACACATTAAAGACTTCTTGCTTGACAAGTTTGGGGTGGTAAGATTTTAATTACTTGTTTTTTTGTTTTCCTGTGGGTTAACTTAACACTAAAAAACATATTTGCCCTTAAGTCACATGCACATAGGCTTTTGCACTTTAAGTTGTCATTATCTTATGGTTCAATTTCATAATAAATCAAAATATTGACACTTTGACAGAATTTGTAACCATTATCTTGAAAACTTAGCAATTTATGCATAATTAATCAGATAATTTGTTATTATATGATCATAAAACACCTAAGTAGACAAGAATCTAAATATTAAGCATTTTACAGTACACAATGTGCATTAATTATTTTTTCGATGACCCCATGCAGATGATGTTATCAGTAGATTTGAGTTATATAGAAAAGCTATATGGAAAAATATTTACATTATATAAATTAGGGAATTTCTGGTTTTTACGTTTGAAACAAAAGGGTAGCTCGATGCATGATGCACGCAGCTCTTGAAATTCTCTGTATTAATATTTTTGGGAGTTCTTTACTCATGCATTATACAATGAAACATTATTACTGTAGTCCCTCCGTAAAATATTACTGGGACTTAAAATAATCATAGAACAAATAAATAACTTTTAGGGTACAAAGGAAGTCTTTCTTTCTTGTTTGTTTCTGAAAAAACATGTTTGGGTAAGAATGAATCGGACCACCTTTAAATTTTTCTTGATTTTATATTCAAAAATCCCCCCCCCCCAAACAAAAACAATGTTTAACTTTTTGTTGTTAGTTCATTTATCTAAAAATGAATAATTACAATGTGAGAATATTGTTCAATGTTAATATCCGCAAAGGCCAGGTTAATATAAATTAGTAATAAAAAAATGTTCTAAATAAAAAGCTGCTTTATTTTAATTGTCTTGTTGCAGGTTTTAAATTTATGCTTATAAGTAATGAATGTTTTCCAAAAGTTAGAACTTTATATACATTTTTTTATCTATTAAGAACCTTCTTAGTTTTCCTCATAAAAAATTATGCATGTATTTAAATGTCTTAAATTCACTCCTCCAGATTGCATCTTCCTAATTCAGGTTCATCTGCATCTGTCTCTTACTGTTTTCTTTCTTTTGTTGCAGTAAGTGATATGCCTGCAGGGCTTTACCCATTTGGGAACACATACTTCTACCGACTGACTGATGATATTAGTAATGTGACAGACACTAACTGCAGTACTGGAATCCAATGGATCTACAAAGTCCTAGGAGACTGTGTGTGGGACACCAGAGGAATAGTCTCAGTGGCGCTGGGCGTGGCCTCCATTTTGTTTTGGCTGGTTGTCAGCATTCCGTACGTAATAGAAAATATGTGCTTTATTAGAATGGACTCAGTCATTTAATCTTTTAGATGAGGTTAGATTTATTTGCAAATTTTACTCATCCAAATAACATCTGAAGTTGTCCAGCAAATATTGTGGCAAAACGCTATTGAAAGAAAACAGTGAGATAATTTATACTTTTTTGCCCATTATGCAAATTATCCCACCTTTCTAACCATTGTTGACAGTGGTTAGAAGTAGACATACCGGGTACTCAACAAAGTAGACAGTGATCCCTTTAAGATGAATTGGAAGGACTGTTCAGGCATTGTAAAATTATGATACTGTTCTAATCATAAGGACTGATTGCATAAATCATATATAGGCAAACAAATTGATAGTTAGCATGAGAGAGGAAATATATGTCTGACAAAGGTATTTCAGGGCCTAATAAATGAATAAGGTCAAAAAGTTTTGCTGATTGAGACAAAATGACCCTTCCATCAGAAAAAGAGGTATTATCTCCATATTATTTTATAGCCAAACAAAATGTGATTTTTGGGCAGTTGCTCTAAAAATTTCAACTCAACATTTTTAGGAGAGAACAAGATTTATTGGTGGAGGGAAATGTTTCCTTAGAATAGGAGAGAAATATTGATTTAGGAAAATTAGTATTCTTTTTCCTGTAAAAATTAAAAAATTATTTCCTATAAAAATCTATACAAGAGCAAGCATAACAATTCTAATGTTTTGCAATGGGGATAAAAAAAAATATTGTTGGACTGGTTAGCAAGATATTGGAAGGTTTGGACCTGTTTCATGCTTTGCTTTCAAGATTGTAGTAGCTAACCTAGCAGCTAGGTATAAGATATCTATCTGTATTGAATGGACAGATTATCTTAGCTGCTAATTAAGTGTCAGATTTCAGATAAAAATATATCGGTAAAAACTTATTTTTGGAACAAAAAGAGTTTATTTCAAGCAAAAATATATATGTAAATATACTGGTACATAAAATTCCCTCAGATGTAGAAAATACTATTTTTTGTTGTTAAAATCAATTTATCATGTGTTGCAAAGTTGTAATCATTTATACCGGTAGGAGGCCGTCTAGGATTTGGTATTTAACATTAAAATATTTATGCTAATTCTCCCTATGTAGTGGCTATAGGTAAGCTCTCCGTTCAAGAGCGTAGCTTTACATAGTGGTTACGTGTTTTATTCTGTTGAACACACCCCTTATTGCTTCTGTCCAGTATTTGTTTCTCGGTCTGGAAAATCTTTCACACTTTCAAATTCTTCTTAGGAACCACAAGGCAAATTTCAACCAAAATTTCCACTAAAAAGCCTCTGGTAAGGGGGCCAGATTCTAGTTTGTTAAGTAAACAAATAGAGCCACACTTTTTAACAATGGGATATAATAATGAACTGGTTAAAATTTAATTTGTATTTTTGAAATTCAATTGCACAAACTACTACCCTTTTCATCCCAGTTAAAATAATTATATGCCCTTATGAACAATCTTCTTTCTTTTTGATGATGAAAAAATAAACCAAGCATCAGACTGATTATACTAAACTCTTTTGAGCAGATTGTTAAAAGATTATGCTTGTTGATTATTAAGGAAGCCCCTTTCTAAATACAAACTTTGAAGTGCTGAATGGAAATTTATCCTTATAGGAATGTATTTATAGTTCTAAAGCTTAACCATATAAAGACCCTTTCATCTATTTTTTTTCAGTGTGTAATTATAGGAGTTAATCAGGATATACTTCTCTATTCATAATTGTCTGAAGATATTATTATATACCATAAGTAATTTATTTATTTTATAGTGACATATATGCTACAATCATTAGTATATACCGGTACCTATATTCAAATAGAATTTTAAACACCAAGCCCATCGCTCATGAGATGAATTTCATAATGCATGTATAAAATGTGGTTTACTACAGAAAAAAATGCGTAATATTAATTAATCAGATAAACACATAATTATATTTTTTTAAACATAGATAAGTAAAATGCAAGTGCTCTCCAGTCTAGAATTCCCATACATAACATTTATGTATTGTAAATTACTACTGTAAAGAGGGATATTTTAGCCCATCTTAATTTTGCTCTTTTACAGCTGGAAACGATTTTGCATTGTTTTGAATTCGTCTAGACACACTTCTGTATAAGTGATAATGCCATTTTCATTGAAAATTGCGACAAGGGCGAAAGGGGCAACAATAATATGGGGTGAAAATTTCCCTTTATACAGTATTTTGTTGTTTTTTTTTTCATGCACACATGTATATCTCATCCATTGAACATATGTATTATCTACATACCATTGGAAAATTGTAATGAGATTCAAATGAATGACTCAAATGAGTCAAATTATAGTTATATATGTACAATCAATGTAATAAATTATTTTTACAGTCAGATGGTAAAGAATTGTCGAAATATTGCTGGAGTGGAAGGCATTTCAATACTTCTGATTCTCCAATGGACGTTAGGTGATGCCACAAATCTAGTCGGAGCTATTCTCACAAAACAACTGCCTTTGCAGGTAAAAGGATTTCAAATAATCGGGAGGTCGTGGAATACAGTTTTTTATATGTGAGATTTAAAACTGAGACTCCCTGAATTAATCATATTTAATTTTTTTTAATTCTAAATCATAAAATGTTTTATTTTATTTTTTCCAGATCTATCTTGCCATTTATTTTGTATTTGCGGACCTCGTCCTTTTTTCTCAGTATATTTATTATCAAATCTGGAAGCGTAAACAGGCCACGGGTAAGTACAGGTCAATCTCATTACTGTTATAGAAGTGGTCTGGACTCGAATAGAAATCAATCACCACATCAGGTGATTGGATTGTTTGATCAATTAATTAATGCACAGATTCCATGCAGTACAGCTGACAATAGAAATCTGTTATGTAAACATTGCCTTTAATTAGATTTGATTGAAAATGAATTATTGCAATTTCTTACATATACATGTAATGGAATTGGTTTTATTTATTGCATATGTAATTAATTGAAAGGAAGTCTGAATAATAGACTATTCTCCTTAAATAATTTAATTTGCTGATAGTTTTTGCAATACACGTAACATAATGTACTGTAACTTAAACGTAAAATATTTACAATTTAATGATGACCTTAAAATTAAACCACATAGACAAGTTCAGATAGATCAATTTAAAATCTAAATTACTGTAGATCATTAAATTTTTGCAACACCTGAATGATACAAGATAGCAAAGACTCTTGATTTAATGGCAGATTAAGACAAATTTTTCCAGGAAATTTATTGCTCTATATAATCATATTATAGATGAGAAATATTAATATTGTGAAATTTTTCACAAATAAAATTCTTGTGAATAACAAATGATTTACATTACACCAAATGTAGGCACATACTATCTTTAATCCAGTCTGGTATCTGGACTGTTAGCTATTAGATGTAGTGGACCAACTAACCCAGATTAACTAAACTGTTTGAAACCCATGTAGTGTACTAGTGTTGACAAAATGTGAGTTAAACCATGTGACTTTGTTTAACTATAAACTTAACTTATACCATATAACAATTAACAAATATACATGTATTAAAAAAATGATGCAATACTTGATTCAACTCTAAGTATTAACTATTAAGCTACAATATTGCATTGGATTTAATTTATCAAATATAGATCATAGATGCAATATGAAACAACCAACTTTTTACTTGCAATGCACCTAAGTGAAGTTAAGCTAGGTCATCAATAAATTGATTGTCCCTTAGATTTTTTTTGATAACAGCAGAAACGAGTGAAAGCTTTTATACCTCCTTTCAGTCTACAGATGTTGTAAGTTTTCTTTAACATAAGTGAAATAAATATTAAGTTTTTAAATTGAAAAAAATCCCTTTATTGCAGACCATGGAGGAAACCGGCCTGGAGCTGTGCCAAAAATAGTCTTATGTTTTACTGGTGCATTTCTGGGAACAAATTTATTTGGAGCTATTTTTCATAAAACATCATTACCATTTATAAACCAAGGTCAAAATATGTATATTAGACACCATTCAACTGGTAGGAGTCTAATGGGAACAAATTTACAACACAGTGCTGTGATATTTCATGTGAGTATCATTCAAAAGGTCTTACTCAGGTTATCTATGATTTTTACTGTAATCTGCCTGATAACTTTAATTCAGTTTGTTCCCATTAGGATCTGGTTGGTAGATGCCGACAGAATTTTAATATTTGTATTCTTCTTAATTAGATTTCATATATTTTGATGCTGTTTTTTTTTTCTAGGGTTTTATAGATGAGATAGGTTATGCAATAGGAGTAGTGTCCAGTATATTTTACATAGGATCTAGGTCAGCTCAGTTGTATAAAAATGTGAGTATATCCCTTTTATGAGGTCTCAATGAAACTTTATAGGTATGTCAACTTTACAGAAATGCATATTGACCGAGCATGAAGTGTGAGGTCAATATATTTTTCTGTGAAGTGAATACATCCGTGGATTGACTGAATTTCTATATACTCTTGTCACTTTATGATTATTAATTTGAAACAATTTATTTTAATTGTATTTTGAATTTAATTTGGGTCACAGTTATCTTTAATGCCGGTACATAATATGTTTTTTATACTGTACATCACTTAATATATTCATAACACCTATTTTCATGAGATTGACATTTCAAATTGTTATTTATAAACTAGACATAATTTCCATGAATTTTATTTTTGTTCTTGATAATTTATACAACTTAATAAACATGAGAAGTAAATTTTTGTAAGCAGGTGGTCTCATCTAATTATGCAAAAATAATAAAGATCTTTTCCCAACATGTGTATCTTTGATAAAAATATTATTTCAGTCAAGAACTTTTGATTTTTACAGTATAAAAGGCAATCAACAGATGGGCTTTCAATCCTGATGTTTTGGCTTGCTATTTTTGGGAATCTAACGTATGGACTGGCTATTATAGTGCGACAGCTGGATGTTGTATATATTATACGACACATCCCCTGGTTAGTGGGGAGTTTAGGAGTTATCTTCCTTGATTCTTCTGTATCCTTCAAACCAAATAATCTGTATTGTTTCCCTTCAGAAATATGGAGAATGAAAAATAGCCAAACATGATTGAGATGTTAGTATTAATCAGTTTAACCATCGCATAGTGATTTTTAATGAAATATTTAACTGATACCAACTGCCATTTTATTTTCAAAATGTTTCAAAATTATAAATCTTTCTGGGACTTGTTCTTTTTGCTGTTAAAATTGAAAATTTATCTTGATACCAGAATTTAGAGAATGGCAGTTCCAGAAGTTTTTAAGAACACTGTAATGTGCTTCAAGCCTTGGAACAAAACCCAAATATTTTTATATTTCTTTGTTATTCAAAATGTGAATAAAGTTTATGCCTTAACCAAGTTCTAGTTATTGGTGCAATTTAAATATTATGGATCCAGGGCCGACTTTGACAGACTTTCTCAGGAACCATTACTTCAAGATCAGGAAATCGTTGTCAATGTAGAACGGGACAAATACGGTACCATCAACTGATGTTACACGGGGGCTGGACAAACCAACTGATGTTACATGGGTCTGGACAAATACAGTACCATTAACTGATGTAACATGTCAGCATCAATAAAAAAAAATCTGTTATCATGGAATTTAAAATTTTGTGAAAATCAGTATTATGTCTCAAGCAAGTTAAAACAATTTTTCTCTAAGAAATATACGAGGGCCGTTCAAAAATTACGCGGACTTGTTTCACAGAAGAAATATTTGACAACATAATCGGGCAAAATGTCACAAATAATATAAAAGAATCTTTACTTATATGGTCTTCAAAATTTCATATCAAAATGTAAATTGGTATCAATTTTGAGTGATTTATAAGGACATATCATTGAGTCACGGAGCAGCAAAATCTTCGACGTCACAGGCATTATAAAAAAAAATTTTGATTGAGCTTTCATTTTCTCAACATTTTTTCAAGAGTACCTGTACAGTTTGAGTTACTTTATCTACTCAACATCCAAACACCATTTCTTGTCGAGCTTAAAATCTATTAAACAAGTAAAGAATATTCTTTTTTTGTTTTAAAAAAAAAAAACTGCAGGTATTTATGAGATATAGTGTAATATTGATGACTCTCAATCACGTTCTTTACAGTCCGGATAAAGTTTTTGTCGATAATCTTCTTCCCGCCCTCCCGTATAGCCTTTTTATAGGAGTCTAACGGTCTAAAATTTCATTTTGCTATTTGTGGACGAATGTCACGAATACCCTAGTTTACTACATGTTTTATTATGCATCTATTTGATCTATGTTGTCGATATCTCGAGCATTACATATAATTTAACAAAAATGCGATGAGCCGTCAATTCAGGAGACGTCATTTTCACAGTCGTGTTCACGGGAATCGCATCAGAGAAAAATCACTATATTTCTGTTAGTACTTCAAATATTTTGTCAGAAATCTAAATACATAATAATACAACAATTTAAAGATACATTTGAGAAAATTGTCGAAAAATATAGCGAATTATAGAATATCAATGTGTTAAATTTTGGATTCCGCATGCATTTGCTCCAATTTTTTTGTCGTGCTCCGTACCTCTCCATCAGTGATATCAACATACCGATAATTTTCGTAGATTTTTTTTAAAATACAGAAATTTTGCCCAAAATTTATTGGAATCTTTAAGATACATATTTCTGTGAAATTTCATAACTATATGACGTCTGTAAGAGTAAATAATAGCACAGTCCGCGTAATTTTTGAACGGCCCTCGTACATGTATTCAAATCATGTCAATGGCCATTAATTTAAAGGAGTGTACTAGTTTACATTCCATATCTCATAATTTTATGAATATTTCATGCTTTTATTACAAAATGAAATAATTTATTTCTGCCCATTTAGTACTACCTGTACTTTGTTATTTTCAGTTCATCTGTACAATATTTTATTTTTTATATGAATGTACATGTACAATACTTTATATTTTTAGTATGACTGAACTGTACTTCATTTTTAGTGTGACTGTATTTTATGTTATGCCCATGGCTTATCATTGTTATCATTGTTTACTGAAAAAATACATGTATATATTTAATAAATCAATGTACTGTAACTGTTTTATAAATATAAATTGTTTTTCTCCTTTTATTCAGCAATTAGAATTAAAAGCCTCTTATACCAGACTTCCCCTTGGAGTGAAATATAGAAATAAAAAATATATGATTTCCGATTCCCAGTACAATTACTTCCTGATTACAGTCTGTGTACGTTTATGTCATTAATTGATGCATAAGTGGCATCCTATAAGACATCTCTAAATGTGGGCTGTACATTGAAATTAATGAACTGAAATTTTATTGGTTATTAACTCCATGGGTAAACACCAGCATAGTTTACAAAATGGTAAAGTGTTCTGTTTTAAATATCCGTCAATCTACAAAAAAAAAAAAATGAAACCAAAATATTGGGATTTAACTACATGTACCTGTACATGTATTTGGTTAGCTGCAGCTAGTATTTGGTATATGTTAAACAACTTCTTCCTTTAAGGAAAGTAATGCATAATGTAAAAATTTTAATGATGAAAATACTATAGTCAAAATGCATAACATTAAAAGATTCAATTTTAATTTTCTATTGTAGGATGTAAAAAAAAATTTAAAAAACAAAAAATAAAGACGAAAAGAAAACAGGTTGTAGAGATTCATGAAAATATCAAGGAAGATTAATTGTATATTGGAGCTAGAGCAAAAGAAAAGTTTACACATCTTTTGCAAATCAAAAATTTATGAAAAGATCAAATTACTTTCATGGTTTAACTATGCTACAACAATAGGTGGGATTTGGAGTAGGGGGGGGGGGGGTTGCCAATCTGACCCTTTCAATGAACAGTTTCCAAAGTAAAAGATGATGTTTGGAAATAGGGGTGTTACAATGCACTTTGAATTTTTTTTAAAAGTGCGTTAAATTTGGGACCAAGTTAACCCACCAAAGAGAAAATATTTATGCATTATATATTTTTATTTTTGATCAGTACGTATTTGATTTTGTAAGGTTACTAAATTCAACAAAGTTTAGTCAACTGGCTATTGTTGCTTACATCAACACATCTCTTTATAATACAAGAGGGTGCTTTTTAGGAAAGCTTAATTATTTCAAATTTTTCATTAATTTAAAAATAATTTTACGTTAACTTAAATTTAATGAGAAAATATGAATGCATACATTTGGGTAGGAAAGATAATGAAATAGGCTGAAAACCCTTTGAACTACTTGTCTCGATCATTTCTTGGTATATTAATTTATTCATATTTTTCAAAGTGCGTGAAGTACCTCCATAATAAAAAATGATGGTTGTACACTGCATGTTCATCAATGCACTTTGACAAAAAAACAAGTGAGCTGATTTTGTCCCAAATTTTACCACTTTGATTTTAACATTGATACAAGAAGTAGCCCAAAATGCTGGAAAATGCACCTTTAAAACCAAATTTTCTCGGCCCTTTGGGCCTCAAAACCTCCTCTCATGAACTTCTGGATCTGCCACTGTTGTTTTAACCAGGGACCTATATACTAATTAATATATAACGTTAGGTCACAGGCACCTGACGTTACTTATTTTTCTTTACATAAAAAAATATACCCTTACCTAATAGTGTATTATTTTATTATATAAGAATATTATTGTATAAGAATAAGTAATGTCAGGTGCCTGTGCGCATTAGGTCCCTGTTTTAATGCTAGCTTTCATGGAAACATACCCTTTTTTATTTAATCAGTTATTTTGAAGACATGAAACAATCTTTTCATGTGCATCGGCCTATGCTACTGTACATATTAGTACATCTTTTTTTAAACGGACCTTATCCATAGCTTTGTGATTCCGGATTTTATTGACCCTACCATTCATTAGAGGCAAATAGGGAGCATCTAAGCGTTTCCTGTTTGAGCTCTAGAAAAAGATCGAACAGAAAAACTTTTGATTTGATCTCTCAAGGAGACGCATTTTGATGAGAATTTTTTATTGTCATTGTTTTCAGAAAAGTTCAAGGTTAAATAATGAAACTTCATAAAGGTAAGACGTTTTATACATGCATGCAGACTGATGCTGAAAAAATAACACCTATGAGAAAAGAAAGCGATAAACAGGTTGGGACCAGTCACCCAAATGGGATATAATAGTCCGTTTTGGGATATAATATCCCAAATGGGCTATAAATCTACAGTGCAAAAATTGAAAATTTTTATTTTGGCTATAAATATCATAAATCCGCATCAGGACACTTAAAAAGGAATAACTTTTGGTTGACAAGTTTTCCTGTATGCCCATTGTTTAGGAGATTGATCCTTTAGAAGTTCCTTAACTTCTTGGGGATCAATCTTACAAACTGTAGGGTTGCAGAAAAACTTGCTTGCCAAAAGTTATTCCTTTTTAAGTGTTTTGATGTGGATTTATGATATTTATTGCCAAAATAAAAATTTTCAATTTTTGCACAGTAAATTTATAGCCCATTTGGGATATCATATCCCAAACGGACTATTATATATCCCATTTGGGTGATTGGTCCCAACCTGATAAAATGGTTAAACCAAGATATTCTGTACAGTTTAATGTAGCTATTTATCCCCATCTTCGCTAGCCAAGGGTTTCTGATACGCTCCTCTCCTCATAAACCCTTGGCCTACGGTGTTCATAGAAATAGGGATTTTTTTCCAGAGTTCTGATTGGATTTCAGTACACCCAGGTCGACCAATCAGCAATTGTTTTTTGTAAATGACGATATTTGCGTTCGGAATACATCTTCACTCTTTAATCTCGGAAATGAAAAACGCAAGTAAACAACGATCCTTAAAATAACATTCAATTCTATGAATAGCCATGGTGTCATCCAATATCTTCTAAATATGTGATTAAGAATCTATATTGAAACTTCAGATTTGTTCTATAAATAATGAATAAACATAACTCAATTACTGCTTCTTAATTATTCTTGAAAAAACTTTAATTTAATTTTTTTTAACACGTGTATTTATTTCTGGCGATGACGCAATCTGTGCGTACCTGATAGATTCGAGATCATGTGACGGAAAACAATCCCGTCATTTGCTTCACCGTATGCCAAGGGTTTATGAGGAGAGGAGCGTATCAGAAACCCTTGGCTAGCGAAGATGATTTATCCCATGTTTATCCTTTTATCTTCTGGATATGAACTCGACATTTAGATATATCGACGAAGCATTATCAATTAACAATTGTTATCCTCGATATTTTATTGTAATGTCGATACCACATTGGCTTGCTCCAGGAGTGTAATAATTGATGGGGACAGAAAACACCTTTTAAAAAAAACCTAAGGGTTTGACTGCTTGTTAAAATCACAGGTACCTGATGAATGGATGGTGCACCCCTCAAGCTTATGAGAATTTTTATTAGACACCAAAGCTTACCAAAAATACATTATTTCCTAGCCTCTTAATTACTCTTATATTTTCATATCTGATATCATTTTCTGCTTTTCCCTTCAATGGCAGCAAAAGAGGAGGTTTTGATTGAAGGTTGTTGAAAACACCCAAGCTAGGAGTTCTGATAACATTATGATGACCTTCTGTTTCACTGCCAGCGAAGGAATATTTGGTAAAATTAACTTGAATTTAGGACGAATAAATCATTTTGACCGGCAGTAGCAGTAAGGGGCTTGTAAAACAATATCTCCCAGAACAACATTTTGCATAAATTTATTTGATTATGTAATGAAGAAAATGTCCTTCAAAGCAAAAATCTTCGAAGCGGGGTACCCTAGGTGCTTTTAAGATTTTGTTTCTTACCTTTTAATCTATATCTCTAAATCTTATCAAAAGCAGAAAATGATATCAGATATCAAAATTAAGAATAATAGACTAGGAAATAATGTATTTTTGATAAGTTTTTGTGCTGAATAAAATTTTTTAGAAGCTTGGGGTGTTACACCATCTATTCTTCAGGTGCCTGTGAGTTAAAAAAAATGGTTATTATGAATTTAAAAAAATGTTCTAATTCCTTATTAGAATGTAAAATGCCAAGGGTAATTTCACTCTCTTTCCCTATCAACTAAATTATTATTAGTTTCCTTCAATTATAAAATTTATAACACATTCTGTCTTAGAAGAATCATTACTTGACAGATCTGAGGTGGTGAGTCAGTAAAAAAACAGAAAAATGAGGCTAAAGAAAGGAAGGGGTCCAAAATGGTGTCCTCCCTTGTATTGTTTTAGTATTTACCGTGTATAAGTTTTTATTTGATGATTACTACATGCTGGGAGCAAGCTCCTGTGGTTGATACAATGTATCCTTACTATCCTAATGAGCTTGAAATAAAAAATACCACAGAGTCTGAAACATCTGATTCATATTTTGATATTTTACTAGAAAAAAATGTTAAATTAATGGTGATTTATGATAGACATGATGGCTTTAACTTTTCAATCATCAACTTCCCTTACTTATGCAGCAATATACCTTTATCACGTGCATACTGGGTGTAATGATCCACTCTATGTATGAGCAATATCTAAAATTAAGTAAAATTAAGTAGTTAAATTATTGACTAACAGATCAAATAAGTCTTGTTTAAAGTCGTCATTTTGTAACCGGTCAGCAGGGAATGCTCACTCCTCCATGGCTGCTGATATTCCCACCTCTGATGTTTTGCAGGTCCGTGTTTGTTCTGCTCTAAAAATTTTATTGTTTCATTTTGAAGATGAACAGTTTGTCAGCACAACTCCTTATAAACTGCTGCACAGAATTTCGTCAAACTTGGCAGACATTTAGGACACAATGTTCAGATGTGCATATTACCAAAAAATTCTGATTCCTTTATTTTTTCCAGGAATTTCAGCACTTTGACTTTTGGGGGAGCATTGGGTATGTGAGCTTGCTCACTTTTTCTTTCATTTGATTAGCAAAGTGCTTGATAAACATGATTTATTTTTTCTTCAGTTTCAATTTGTTTTGAAACATTGAATCACTGAATTAGCTTTAAAAATCATATTTTCATTGTTTACAAACAAAATTTTGCATGATAGGTGTCTCATGCAGTAGTATATAAGGGGATGTAGAAAGTGTTATCGCTTATTTGATTTGGGATACACATGTATCACAACAGATAGATCAAAGAAAAAAGCTGCAGATCTGATATGTGACAAGTTTAATTATAACAGCATCTTATATAAAGGGAGTAGAACGGAGCCACAATAGGAAACCAAAGTTTTATATATGAATTATGAATATACACACATATATATATTAAAAAAATATATTCTTTCTCTTATGACCAGCAAAGTCTTTATTCATGCAAGCACCCTAAGGTATGTGTAGTTTAATTTGATACAAATTCAAGTTTGTTCAGATCAGGGCCCTCGGAATAGGTGGAGGCTGCAATAAAGGATCAGAGGTTAACAAGAAAGTATATACAATGAGAGCTTTTTGGGGGAAAGTTTTTGGTTAACGATATAGAGTTAAATTTTTATGAATTTTAAATCTGATGAAGAACAGCTGGGCCAAAGTATCTCAGGTGAGCATTCTGGCCTATGAGCTCTTATAAGGATATTTGATGTAAACTGTTGAGAGATGAAAAGTAGCATTCGATGAGCTGTGAGGCTTTGAAGACATAGTCCTTGTACCAGGTTCTTTGAAAATACAAATTATCAGCCAGATCTTAAAGTGTTTGTCAATTTAAAAGGAAAAGGTTTGCATAAATTCAACATTTCAAATAGAAAATTCAAAATTTGATAATGCTAAAGATTGATGCTTTTTGGAATCTACTTAAAATGCATAAAGTCTTCAAACATATTGAAGGCTTAAAATATTAATGAATCAAAACCAGTCTCCAGTGTACCGTATTACTGATGTTCACTGCAGAGAGAAGTGTTTGTGGTAATGAGAATGGCTTATTGATTGGATTTGTAAACTTAATTTATAATTTACAGGTGGGACAATAACACAAGTACAGATGTATTGATGACAAGTTGCGACATAGATTTAGATGTCACTCTGCAGAACAACTAACTGGAGGAATGAAATGTTTTCTGACTGTAAGAATTTAATTTGTATCTTTTTTCTCAACTGGCTATTGGATATTTGTTTCATTGTTCTTTCTCAATTCTCATCCTCTTTCAGATATATTTTCAAGGTCATCAATGTTTTTAGGATCTTTTATTGTAAGTCAATATAAAAGCACCAATGGTGGCATGTTTAATTAAGTTTAAATCAATATTTACAATGATTTTTTAAATTTTATTTTTAAAGTATGCTTGAATCCTATTCTTAAAAAAAATGCATGAAGAACATGGAAATGGCAATTTTCTACATGCAGTTTATTTTACATTTTTATTAGATCTGTATTTTATAAGTTAACTTTTAAATAAATGTTTGGAATAACATTATATAAAGTTGAATATATATTATAACTAATTTCAGAAAGTGTGATTATTTTACTTTTTTTGCAGGAATTTATTGTGATTACATGATAAATAGCATGAAAGGAAGGAATTTAATATCTGCCAAAAATATACTGTATACCATGGTATACCCAGGACTGAAGCAGTTTATTCTTCATAAACTGAAGCTTTTTATGAACAAAAACCCATCTCAGGTTATAGACGAATTACTTGGGGTAGCTATTAAATGTATTCCTTATATAATGTAATTTTCTATCATTAAGTGTTGAAAATAAGACAGTTTGACTTAAGTTTTACATGTACTTCAAAATCTATAAGATTTAAGGTGAAGCAGATACATTTGAAACAAGTCATACTGGGATGTAGGCAAAAAAGGTTATAAATACGTGTATAAACATATTTTTCTAACCAAGTAAATGGCACATTACAATCAGAATGAAATTATGCAGATATAAACATTTTTTGTAGACTATGCTGCACACATAAAGGCTGAAATTGATTTGGATATAAAAAATGAAGAAGTTTTACTCTCGACCTCCCAGTGTCAAGGCAAAGAAGCTGGCAGACGATTACTCCACGGGAGAATTAGTGACACCGTGTCGTCTGCTGTTGGTTCTGATCTTGTCCTGTATAATGATTGCTGGGATAGCTGTCAGCGTCAGTAAAAACAAGATAGAGCCAGAGGAAAACGTCATTAAAGGGGAGATAACTCTAGTGAACTTTTCATATCAATTTGACTTCAGTGCAGCTTTAAAAACAAGGGAGGAGAATTCGGAGTTGTACAAGAGACCCCAAAATATGTGGTCTGTTGACAAAAGATCCACACTAACACTAGAGGAATTCTGGGATATTTATGATGGAAAATGGTAAGATTAATTGTATAAAGACTCTGTTCATATTTAAATGCTGAAGATTGTGGTGAAAAAAAAATTCTACAACAAATCTGGATCTCTAAGGTGACCTGTTGCTATCAATTTCTGTCTAACGGTGTAGAATCCATTGTGCTTTAAGATACTTTTTTGTATTTTTCAATTTTTTGCTTCTTCTCAATAATCTCTGGACTTCTTGCCACAGGACAGTCTGGTGCCACTCATCATGGCATGCTCTAAGGGCCTTAGTTTAAAATCTAAAGTTAGAACCCAAAAGTTTTATAAAAACGGCTTGTGTAGTAATGCTTTCCATTAAATAATGATGATTTCATCTCTCTAACTTTGAAATGCAGGCCAGTAATTATAACTGATGTTGTACAGCACTGGCCAGCCTTCAACTGGACAAAAGATTTCTTCATTAAAAAATATGGAAGACAGAGGATCACATTCAAAGCTATAGTAGTAAGTAAAAATACATGTATTATAATACATGTCAATAATTAAACCTTGGATTTATTGAATACATGTACACAGTCTTTTGATCACCTGGCTCATTAAGATTAATCAGCATTTCAGTTTTGATCTTATCATAAATACAAATCCCAGTAATGAGTATTGTTATCTCAAATTCTTGTATATCTTGAAGGCTAAAAAAAAAGTCCCCACGATATTTGAGATCTTGAGATTTAACTGTACATGTATGTGATTTTCACCTGTATTTCCAGGATGGCTTCTAGCATGTGAAAGGCTATGTATGAGCTTTGGAGGAATATAACAGTATATGATTTTCGTTTTTATTTTCAGGATGGCATCCAGCATGTGACAGGGTATGTGAGGGCTTTGGAGGATTTTATCAGTACCCTCCACCAGTCTAATTTTAACACCTGGAACTACCTGGAGGATGAGATGTTTATTTTACAGAGACCGGAGCTCAGAGAGGACATCAGGGAACATGTAATTCTTGTCTTATCTGTCAAAATTCACATTTATTTATTGTAAAAATTGTATATGCTCCGTGAGGGCCCTAGATTGGTCAATAAACATATAATTATATATATAATATAATATTATAATATTATTATATACCGTAATTGTAGGTTTCTTATTTAATGTTGAAGCTTAATATTGCAAAAGGACTCATAGATGTCAAATTGTGAGGACTTGAAATCATAAGAAGACTGTTGATTAAAAGTTTTTCATGTATTTCTTTGAACCATAAAAAAAAAGCTTGTGATTTTATTTTTCAAGTGGTTGAATTCATGTATAATTTAGGTATTTATAGTATTCAGATGACTTAATGATTAAATAGATGATCAACACATTGTCAGACTGAATTGGGAATCTTTTTATATTATTTCTTTTAAAAAACCTTTTCATTTATATGTTTCAGATTTATGCTTCAGAAAATTTTTTCTCTTTCTTCCCTTCTGAAATTCGCCCCTGGGATGCCGCTTTCCTGTGGGGATCTAAACATTCTCGTTCCACCCTGCACATGGACCCCTACAACTGGACAGCCATCAGCTCAGTCCTCAGTGGGGTCAAGAAGTGGAAGGTCAGTATCATCTGTCTTGGTCATTAATTAACAATACATTGTATATACTAAAACTTCAAGGACTTTGGACAAATAACTTACAATTGCAGTATTTGTGCTGATTACTTTAACACAAAAAATAAATGACAATATCTAAGGGAAAAAATGAATGTTGAGATTTTATGTGACTTGTGTATGCACGAAAAATATGTCCAGAGATACTGAATATACAGCCTACACATATCCATCATGCATTCAATTCCACTGAATCTGAGGCTAACATGGGTTGAATTAAGACTTGAATACCTTAACCACTATGCATATGTTTGTTTTACTTTGGCAATTTTACAAAATGTTATATTAGGAGAGGACTATCTAAGTTACTGAACTTGTGTCCGATCCTTTTGACTTTGTCAATAAAATATGTTCAATTCAATTCAACCACTATGGAAATTTGATACACATATATCTTAATTTTATTCATATGCTTAGTAAATAAGTAGGATGCATTCAAAGTCTATAAATACCCCATGCATACAAGAGGCTAAAGGAGTAAAAGTGAATTTTGTCATGCTTTTTCATTCTTTTTACAAGCTTTTTCTGCCTGGTCAAAATCTTTTGTATGCAGAAAAAATTTTTCTGGATTTCCCCACCAAAATGTATAAGATACAATAGGTAGCATTTCAATTTTATGAATTTATGTACATGTTTATAAATTGTGTAGATGAACTTCTGAGTCTATTCCTGTTTCCTGATATTAGGTCACCTGATTCATTCATTTTTGTTATTTTGTTTTCTGTTTCCATTTATTGTTGCATTGCTGTTTGGTGTTGCTTAACTCTTGACCATTTTCAGATTTTACTCTGAAAGTCTTTTGATGAATACCAAAATGAAAAACAATGCAAAACTTGTAAATTTTAAACAGGTCAATGAGTGAGACTGAGTCAATTTTATTAATGAATCCTAAAAATTGTACAATGAAAAGAAATGTTTTTCATCTTTGAAAATTCTCAACTTCACTCCTTGACTTCTAGCATAAGGATGCTGTCAATATGACAATGAGTTTAAAAAATCTCTTCTAAAACTAAGAAATTTATGGTGTCTAAAATGTAAAGTTAGGATCTATTTGACCCTTTTTATGCCCCCCCCCCTTCAAAGAAGGGAGGGCATATTGCTTTGCTGCTGTCTGTTGGTCAGTTAGTTGATCTGTCATTCCACCATTAGTTTCCGTTCATTTTCTTTGCACAGATTGCACATATTGAAATAAAATTTGGTATACAGATTTATCATAAGAATAGATCTAGGTCAAGTTCTATTTTGGGTATAATTGAGCCCTTTTTGACAGAGTTATACCCCATAGACTTAGAAAAATTCCAATTATTTGGGGTGGGGGGCATAAGTGTTTTACAAACATCTCGTTTGAGTTTGTAAGACTTAGATGATTGTCGAGGCCTACAGGACTATTGAATGTATTCAATGCTGTGTTGTACAATGGAAAGTAGTTAAACATTTTTTTTGCAGCATTAAATATGCATCAGTTACATCTCTTTTTTGTTGTACAGGCTTTTATTTTGTTCATATCTGCATAATGGTTCATTTATCATTCAGAGCTTGCTTTCTTTTGCACCATTGTTTCTGAATATTTTTGTTAGAAAAATGCAAATTACATACACAAGTTCCCTGTTTCATAACAAAATATATTTTTTCTGTGTGTTAATTTAAGGGCATCAAGTTCTTGATTATCATTTTTTAAAACCAATTTTGAATTATCAGATGCTTCCTTCATTCACCTTAGTTTATTGAATCTGATACTGAGAGGACTATTATAAAATCATTGTCCTAATACATAATGATACATGTATTGATTATTTAAAAATGAATTTTGATACATGCACTTAAATCGTCATGAAAGACGCAATTAATCTTACAGATGTATATATCCACTTCACAAAATTAATTCAATATACTTAATGTTTGAAAGAAATAACAATGAAATATATCTGTTCTTTAAAACGCCTTTTTCAAAACCATTCTGATGAACAGACTTTAAATACTGATGTAAACTTACATAATTTGATGTTGTATCAATCTTTATAAAATTTAATTTTTTTACCAGCCCCATTGATGCCTTTGATCCAGACCTGAGATTATATCCTAAATTTAGCCAGGCTCAGTACCTGGAGACAGAGGTTTATCCAGGAGAGATGCTCATTATTCCTACAGGCTGGTTCCACCAAGTAAGTACACAGAGTATATATCTAATGTTTCATATACAGGCTGGTTTAACCAGGTTATATGGATATGGAATATGGGTCTAATGATTCCTACAGGCTACATGTAGGTTCCACTAGATAAATGATTCCTACAGGCTACATGTAGTTCCACTAGATAAATGATTCCTACAGGCTACATGTAGTTCCACTAGATAAATGATTCCTACAGGCTACATGTAGTTCCACTAGATAAATGATTCCTACAGGCTACATGTAGTTCCACTAGATGAAATGATTCCTACAGGCTACATGTATATATCCACTTCATAAAATGATTCCTATAGGCTACATGTAGTTCCAATAATAAATGATTATACAGGCTACATGTTTTTCAAAACACTGATGATAAATGATTCCTACAGGTAAACTTATATAATTTGATGTTCAATCTTTATAAAATTTATTTTTACAGGCTACATGTAGTTCCACTAGATAAATGATTCCTACAGGCTACATGTAGTTTCACTACCTAAATGATTCCTACAGGAGAGATGTAGTTCCACTTGGTAAATGATTCCTACAGGCTATATGTAGTTCCACTAGATAAATGATTCCTACATATATGTAGTTCCACTAGATAAATGATTCCTACAGGTTACATGTATATGTTCCACTAGATAAATGATTCCTACAGGCTACATGTAGTTCCACTAGATAAAATGATTCCTACAGGCTACATGTAGTTCCACTAGATAAAATGATTCCTACAGGCTACATGTAGTTCCACTAGATAAATGATTCCTACTGGCTATATGTAGTTCCACTAGATAAATGATTCCTACAGGCTACATGTAGTTCCACTAGATAAATGATTCCTACAGGCTACATGTAGTTCCACTAGATAAATGATTCCTACAGGCTACATGTAGTTCCACTAGATAAATGATTCCTACAGGCTATATGTAGTTCCACTAGATAAATGATTCCTACAGGCTACATGTAGTTCCACTAGATAAATGATTCCTACAGGCTACATGTAGTTCCACTAGATAAATGATTCCTACAGGCTACATGTAGTTCCACTAGATAAAATGATTCCTACAGGCTACATGTAGATCCACTAGATAAAATGATTCCTACAGGCTGGTTCCACCAGGTGGGTAAATAAAGTACAGACCTTATAAAATCTTACGATTCATTAAGCTGATTTGACCAGGTAAATACTTAGAATATAGGTCCAACAATTCCTGTAGGCTGCTTCCACTAGGTAAGTATGATTCCTACAGATTGGTTCCATCAGGTTTGTATGATTTCTATAGAAACTGGTTCTATCAGGTAAGTATGATTCCTGTAGGCTTGTTCCACCAGGCAAATATTATTGTGACCTACAGACTGGTTTCACCAAGTAAGTATGGTCCTTCCAGGCTGGTTTCATGGGGTAAGTATGAATCCTACTGGCTGGTTTTACCAAGTAAGTATGATTCCTGCAGGCTGGTTCTACTTGATAATTTTATAGAACATAATGAGTCCTAGGCAGGATTGAGACTACAGATTGTAAATCAATTTACTAATATTTCTATTTCTAATGTTTTCTCTGTGATAACTCTTTGAAAGTTAGCAGAGTTGATTTCTTGATAATTCTACCAGAATGTAAATTAGGCAGGTTGATAGGTCAGGAGCTAAGGAGGCCTAATATGCATGCAAATCTCGTGCGCATCTGTCTCTGACGCTAAGGTGGCCAAATATGCATGTAAATTTCGTGCGGCTGCCTTTGTGTTTGACGTCAGTGGGCGAGGACTGTTGAAATTGGCATGGGAGTCCTCGTGTAATTTAAATCTGTGTTACATTTTTAAAGTCTAAATCTGTGTTACATTTTTAAAGTCTAAATCTGTGTTCACATATTTAAAGTCTAAATCTGAATTTTATTTAACAATGAAATGGAAATATAAGGAATCACTGTCTAGTTAGTATAGTATGCATATATTATCCCATGTTTCCCACTATTGTTGATGCCCTGGCATACTATACTAACTAGACAGTGATTCCTTAAATATGGAATAGGAAAACAAGATTTTAAAGTGTTTTTTATTTACATGTATTTTATACATAAATGCTGCTTTGACATGTCCATCATGGAAAGTTTCTTTCATTGCAAATAATGTGAAATATTAAACCAGTTATGTATTCCTCATTTAAAGAGTTAATAGTTTTGTTTTATATTGTGTGTATTTTCAATTCTTACATTTTTCTCTGCAGGCATATAATGTTGAAGAAACGATGGCAATATCCAGTCAGCTGATGAACAGAAATAATTATCTTGCAGTTCTAGAAGAAATAATAAAAGGAGGAGGTGTTAAAAGGAAGAAATTACCAGCTCATTTTGACACCTTGTTACCGCCTGATCAGGTAAATAACAAATGTTTTCAGAATTGTTAGTGTCTGGGTCATTTTTTATGCCCCCATAATTGAAGATTTGGGGGTATATACATGTATATAGTTTTTGCCCTGTCCGTTCATCTATTTGTTTGTCCAAAAACATTAACCCATAGCTTTTGTATGGTTATAGTTTGACTTGCATTTGAGAAACAAAACCTTCGCCATAAAGCTGCCATACAGGGGCGTCAGTGTTTATGTATGTTTATCAGTCTAAAATTTTTACCAGAGGCAAAAATTTAAATTAAACAAGGCACTGGCTTTCTAAATATATTATACAAATATGTAACATAATTTGTAGGTGAAACTTTTCCTATCTCTTATTTCCAAGAAGATACTGCAAAAAGGGAAAGAACTTACAGAGATGGTATCCAGAATGGTGTATGAAGTCCCAGTTTCCTAGATTTAATAAATATATACCATTGGAGATTTTATTGACATTTACATTTTTTTTTAAACATAGGCCTTTAATGCAATACTGTGTACCAATTCATATGTTAAATAGATTATGTGTATAGGTAGAATGAGTGTGATTTATATCCATAATTTATGCAAATTAAACTCTCTCTTTCATTAGAGTAATAAAATTAAATCATCAAGTGATCATGAATCCAGATTATTTTTATCAACTGTTTTTATTACTGGTATTTTTATTTAATATGATGGGAAAGTATGTCTTCATGATAGATAGTATTTTATTATACATGTATATACTTTAATAAACTTGATGTACAATTCTATGAATTGGGATTTTATACTTAATAAAAAAGTTCAAACTCTTCTGTTTTGTTTATTTACAATATAGAAGTCAGCAATATCAAAGTCTCCAACACTGTTTGACATAAGTACATGTACCAGTATATCTTCATGAAATGCACATATTATTATTATTATTCTTCCATGTATGAAGAAAACTGCTGGCATATTCAAATATTTTATTATAAAAAAAATTATATCACAAAACCATCTTAATGATTAATAGCTAAAAAAAATATTGCAGAAAATAATCACAGTCATTGTAAAGCAATGATGAATGCCATTCAATTGTATGTTGCATGTAGTCATGTACTACCAGTATTTATTTCAAAAGTCTGGTAATACTTTATAGGGGTTTAAAATCATATTTGGGTCAAAAGTCTTTTTAATTTCTTTCATTAAGACCACTGCTGACTTAGATTTACTGTGGTATATAAAGTCTTTTTTCTTAAATCCCAGACCATGCTCTGCACTGATGCTGCCCTTTTTATCTGCCACCCAGTCATACAAATATGGTTCTATTTTTGCCATCACTTCTTTACTGTATTCAGGTGAGGTCACATTTAAATGAAGATTTCCTGAAAACCAGGAAGTTCCATTACTTTGATATTTTTGACATTTTTCAATTGTAATTGCAGTGCTTATGGAGAAAATCTTGTTGATAAAATATTTCCAGTTAGAAAAGTTTTGAAAACTTTGATATATTAACATTGTTTATCATTTATGCAAATTTTCACCCTTACCATCACCAACATGTCCATAACCTACGACCCTGGTTACCATGGTACCCAGCCTCTCTCTCATTGCTTCTACCAAATTATAGAATGAAGGGAGGGGTAGAGATACATCATACTTGTAGCAATATCCATCATGTAAGAGTCCCTCTGCAAGTCTCTCTCTCAAAGACCAGATATTCTGTAAGTATAAATACTAAAGTGGGTTTGTCCTTTTTGTCCCACACTTTCACTGAATTAATTAAAGGTCTGTCTGTCTATCTGTCTGTCTGTATTTCCATCTGTATGTAATAAATTTTTTTCACCAAACGATATCTTGAGAAGATTTTGTAATGAATACAGAACTTCCTATGGCCTAAAGGAGATCCCATCTCACACAAATAAAATAAACTTATCATGAAATATACTCACTTGAATTTTTGTGGGCTCTGTAGTCACTGTACCATCCTGAACTAGACCAGAACTCATGACATTCTCTAGAAACTGATTGAGTTTTTCTTCATCATGCTTTCCATTGGATCCCGATGTTTCAATCAAGACATAGAAAGGGAAGTCTTCAATTGGACTGTTCATTTTCAGGTTCTCTTTGGCTACAGTCATTGATTGAGAGTCCAGGAATTCAAATGCTGATAAAACCTCCCCAAGTTGATGCCTGCTCTCTTTGAATATGTCCAACACTGTTTGAAAGGATTTGCATCCTACAGAGAGATAAAATAAATTTACATGTAGATTATATCGTGAAAATTGATGGTTCAAAATATTTTGGGAACTTAATAAATTAATTTGTGATTAATAAAAAATATACAAATGTATAAGAAGCACAGTGTATTAACTAAGGATGGGTCAAAAAAATATTTATCAGAACTTCAAAATCTAGTGCATCTTGGAATAATATTAGAACACATTCATATTTCTCTTCTGTCAGATCTTGTCTCTGTCTTAAACAAACATTTATGCAAAGGGGTGGGGTGAGAGGTTTTATCAAAAATAAAAGTCTTGTAGAGTACACTGGTACCTAAAAATGCTACAGAGACAGCTTGAGATTTCTGAGGACAATTGAGGGACACAGCTGTGATAATTCCCAGAGTTCCCTCTGATCCAACAAACAACTGCTTAAGGTCATATCCTGTGTTATCCTTCCGCAGAGTAGAGAGACAGTCAACCACTTCACCACTAGCCAAAACCTATTTTGAACAAATAATCAACGTTCGAGTTTTGCTGGTTTATAATATATTTCATGTAAAATTTTGAACAGTGCAGTGCCAATGTACATGTATTCAGATGGCAATACAAAACTCAACAGTTTGCTGCCGCTTCCTAGCAAAGGCAATTACTCAAAAGTATGATTCCTATTCCTTTGAAAGGCCGATTTTCAAAAATTACTAATAACAAATAATTACAAGAATTTTAAAATATTTCAAAATTAGCTGTCATGATTGTTTACTTCACAGATTCAAAAGTTTTTATGATTTAAAAACTTCTCTGTCTATGACTAAAATGGGAACCTAATTATACATTGGCTTAAGTGGTCAGTAGAGTAAATTTTTAAGTACTCACTGTTTCCAGTCCCAAGACATTGCCATGTAATGACCCATATCTTAGCAGTCTTATCCCTCCAGCATTGGTCGCTACATTGCCTCCGATATGGCAGCTTCCTTTGGCACCAAGATCAACAGGAATGGTAAGATTATAGCTGGATAAATAGTCTTCTACTGTAGCTAGTACACATCCAGCCTGGCAAACCAATGTCCCTGAAAACGTAAACACAATGTTGTACGTGTATACAATGAATTCATAGCATAAATCATTAAATTAAATATATCATTTGTATATTCTACAACAACATATTACAAGTTAAGCATACAACGAAGCTAAATCGTCAGTCCCTGGCACCTCATTATAAGCATGTTTATCTTAATATTTTTTTGTGCAATATGTTTCCCCAAAACTTGTTAATATGAAATAAAAAATGTCAATGTTAACATCACAATTTGAGAGCATGTATGAACCTGATATTTCATCAAGACTGATGATTTTATTCATCAGTTGTGTGGAGATCACAATTTCATCAAACACCGGTACACTCCCACCAACAAGACCAGTGTTCCCTCCCTGTGGTACAACTGCCAGCTTCCTCTCACTGCAGTACTTCAATATGGCCGATACTTCCTCGGTGGACTTTGGTCTCAACACAACTTGACTAGCACCTAACAGTAAATAAAAAGTGGCAATTTGTTAAAACCTTAAATCTATATTTCCACTGGATTAGGATCATGGAATTTTGTATTCATGTTCATGGCACTTTTACATAGGAATGCTAATAGCTGCTAATTTTCGGAAAGTCTTATCTCTAACAGTGAATAAAATTAGTGTTGCAACAACAAATAATAAGATTTTTTTCTATAGCATCTTTTTTTCATAAATCAACGATCATCGTAAAAAAAACCTTCAAGACTATTGGCATAATGAGTATTGGAGAATTGCCACGAGGCAGAACAGAAATTAGGTCACATAATCTATCACCTCTACATGTTTTCAACCAGTCTGTATTGTATCCGTCTAGAGAATCTGTTAGCACCCTTCCTGGAATAAGCCTTTCAAATTCAGAAACGTCTCTATCCTGAACAGTGCCATAGTTCCCCCTTTTAACATTTGGATAACGAACACTTGTAAGTTCCAATAGCCTTCTCGTTGTAGTCTGGAATTGCCTAATTGAAATTGTTCGATGCAACTTTGTTCTATTCAAAGCACACCAACGTGTAAAAGTATTCATTTCTGAGCAGCTTATCAGCTGACAACGTGTAACATCTCAGTCAAACTAGTTTTTTACAGCAACAGTGCAGTCAGCATTATCGGCCTTCGTCCTAAAAATATATCGGAAAATTACTGACGACACTAATTTTAAGCTTTCTTCAACGGAACAGAAAAATCCGAAAAGCGGCGCTATGTAACATTATAATAAGATACATGTAGATCATATGATTTTAAATTTTAAAAAAGAGTTTGTAATCCGTTAAGATTTAGAGAAATTTTCAGAATTAAGGTTACTTTCTGAAGGACCTGTGGAGATTATTATATGTATTCGAGTGAAAATCTTCAAAAAATCTCGAGCTCCAAACATGTAATATGATCTTACCTTTCTATATTAAATTTCGGCTAAGAGGTATTTGTTCTAAGACAGGTTGTATCACTATTGAAAATGGGCGTAAAAAGGCATTGATTTGTGCTTTATGTTATTTTCCCATCTTGACAATGAGCACATGCAGGGCAGGGTGTGTAGTGCCAGATCCATTATGACGTCATAATCACTTTCAACTTTCTTTTCCCCGTACTTCACGGTTAATAGAATTATGAGGAAAATAAAGTATTTTTATGGAATTCAATTTGAAATCACATGAAAACTAATCCCGATACCTATATTAAATTTGACATTAAAGAAAAGGGCAATAACATACAGATTACTGTTTTCTGAAAGACTAAAGGCAATCTGGATACAATTTCTTACATATACCTGTAGGCACCTTTCATTTACTAGATCTTGACCTTAAGGTATTTAAATGAAAAAATATATATGAGTTAGACAGAAAATGTTAAAAGCCCGATCCTACCTCAATTTTGATAGACTGGGTCATTCTTTAAACGTGAGAAAAAGTACAATCTGCTTGCATATAACGACATATAGATGTGTTTGACGGGGAAATTTTTATATTTTTGAGATATTATACACTCTTACATTTTTTTTCATTAACAAAAATAGGAGGGGGGTATTATCCATACTTCAGGTGCCTGTGTTTGAATAAGTGCACTTATGGGCCCCGGTGAAATGTGAAAAAATAAACAATCAAATTAAGCAAAATTTTTCATCCCAGATCATTAATTGAAATCTAAACCGTACGATTCAACAATTTTTACCGCTGAAATTCACGAATATACAAAGAACAAAACCATAGAATGTGGCAGAGGTCAGCCGACATCTGTACGTGATTTTCTATGGTAAATTGAGAACGGTCAATCATTTCAAAGCTTTTGTTTACTAAGTCTTACTTTGTACAAACTTGTGCGAATGGCAAAAGACGCATAATGCATCTATAAAAATTGTGTGAAAGTAGGAAATTTGTACACGATTCGGCTGGTACTTAAAATATTAAAATTGTACAAAAAGTACATGTACAACGTTTTTCCTATAGCAAGTGAGAGCTATTTACCTGTA